AGTGACCTTTTAACATTTAGACAGAGCACCAAAAATTATTTATCCAGAGTGTTATTTTTGTTTTATTTTATACTGTCATATTTTTAAATTACATTCTAAAAAACAATTTTATGCAAAAAAGCTAGTGATAGTATAATTAGCTAACAAACAATAATTAAAGGCATAAATATGCGAAATAAGTACAAATAATAATAAATAGATGCATGTATGCCAATGGATGCTATGCATGAAAATAAAATACAATTTTGACATCGGGTCCTTAGATATAATGAGACTACATTGAATTTTCAACATTTAGGTAAAGTTTAGGTGTGATTATTTATATTTAAAATCTTTTTTTTAATTTTTTTTTGTTTAATCTTATTATTATTTAGGATTAAGGAATCATACAAAAATTTTTAAAAAATAAAATTTCCTAAATACCCTATCCTCTAAGCGGTATTTGGGAACAGACTACTTCATAGAAGATTTTCATACAAATTCTTGGAATTTTGTGATGGTTTTAGGGTATGGCCATAAGTCATGGTTTTCAGGGTCTCGTTTTAAGGTTTTAGGGTTTTAGGGTTTAAGGTTTTTAAGGCTTCGAGTTTTAGGGTTTCGAGTATTTTTTGGTTTCAAAGATTCGAGTTTTAAGGTTTCAAGTTTTAAGATTTTGAGGTTTTAATATTTCGAGTGTTTTAAGGTTTCAAATTTTTTTCCTATGAGAAAAATAAAAATTGTCGATAACTTGAACTTCTTCAATTATCTCCGCATGTAAGCAGACTTTTGAAAGAAGTTCAATTTTTATTCTTTTTTTTCCTTAGCAATTTTATATTGATGCAATATGAAACAAATAAATTATACAAATGATAGCTGAAAATTAGAACAATCAATTTTCATATTTTATTCCCATTTACTTATTATCATTTCCTTCCTAAAAATTAAAAATAAAATAAACTTTATTTGTTATATGATTTACTTGTGAAAATTTATTTTCTTTATATTTTAAATTTTAATTTAATCTAACTTAATTAATTTTTTTTTATTTTTGATTTTTTAATTCCACATATTTAAGCGAAATTAAAATTTTAAAACACAATTTTGAATTCCTTCCAAATCTAGGCAAGGTTTTCATGATCATTTTTTTCATAAAAATATTGTTTATTTTATTCCTAAAATTTCCTTTTCAAAACACATTTTAAAATTACAAAATTAGTTTAATTTATTTTTATTTAAGAATTTATACATAATTTTTTTATCAAGTTAATCATCCACAAATAAATTTACTTTTAAGAGTATTTATTAATACTTTTTCATTTTTGATTTTTTAATTCCACATATTTAAGCGAAATTAAATTTTTAAAACACAATTTTGAATTCCCTCCAACATCTAGGCAGGGTTTTCATGATCATTTTTTTTCATAAAAATATTGTTTATTTTATTCCTAAAATTTCCTTTTCAAAAAACATTTTAAAATTACAAAATTAGTTTAATTTATTTTTATTTAAGAATTTATACATAATTTTTTTATCAAGTTAATCATCCACAAATAAATTTACTTTTAAGAGTATACAACATTAAATATATGCATGTAATACCATAATAAAATAAAATGAGAGCAAAATATACTCAAATAGTCTTTTGAGCTTAAACTCAATATGATTCAAAATAAGAGAGGAGCTTAATTGGAGGATTTGGAACAAGCTTGAATGGAACTAGTGGGCTAAATCAGGTGAATAGATTGGGTCTGGAGAGGCTAGGTCACGAGTCGAGCCAATTAGGTCTAGGTCGGGTCTTGGTCCAACTGGTTTACTTAGGTTTTTTTTTTTTTTTTTATATATATATTATAAAGTCTCAAGATTTTTTTTAACTCATTCTATCTTCATTTTTTTCAAAAATCCTTTATCTTTTTCAACAAACCAAAGCCCAATTTCTAGCTAGAAAACCTGCCCCTACCATCTTCCCTTTGTCGTCGTCAATGCTGCAGTCAATCAGTGGCCTTTCCTTCCAAAATTTAAGCCATGGTTTCCTTTCTTCATCTTCTTCACAAATCCAACCTTCGTTTTTCCAAAAACAGCCCCAGCAAACTCTATATTTGAGTTGAAATTGGGTAGTTTCAAAATTCAAAAACACCTATCCTCTGCTTCTAAACGGCCTAGGCTTTCAATATGTTCTTTGTCTTCCTTTAGCTTTCCCTACCCCTAAATTTGAACACCTAAACCTATGTAGAAGCCATAAAACCCAAAACACCCCTCCACGGTCACCTCTTATTTCACCACCTTAGGTAGTTTCTTCTTCTTCCTTTCCCTAAGATTTGAAACCCTAAATCCTTATGAACATAACCCTAGCCGAAACGTTACCCCCTCATTTTTTTTTTGTTAGGTTCCTCACAAATTGTGAGGACTGTGATTATTATTATTATTGTTATTATTATTATTATTATTATTTGTGATTTGGGCTTTTTAGATGCTGATAGAATGGGTGTTCGATGGTAGGTCGGTAATCCTTAAGCTTGGTAATACGGGTGTTGGTGGTAGACAGTGGAAAAAGGGCTGTTTAATGGTGTTTTCAATTTTTTTTATTAGGTGAGAGGTGATGAATGTTGACAATCTTGGTAGCTTGGTATAGACAGAATGAAAGTTAGAATTTTCTTCTATTACTTGTTGTTTAGGTGTTTCAAGGGGGAGGCTCGAGTCTATGGTAATAGTTGTAATGGCAATGGGGCTAATCAGATGGTGATGATGGTGGTAACAACCTTCTCGGTGGTTGTCTCGAGTGGGTATGGTCTTGGCTTTAAGCAGTGGTGGGTATTGGGGCTTTGGTGTTTTGTGTGGGGATTAGGGATGGGTGATGGTTGAAAGTGTGAAGGCGAAGGGCCTTGGGTAGTGTCTGCTTTGAGGGTTTGATGGAAAATGGTTAAAAAAAAATAGGAATAAGGTGTGTCCTTAGTGGTGTCGATTGGTGTTTTGTGGTGTTGTTGGTTTTTTTTTTTTTTTTTTTGCTATATGTTGAAGGTTAAGGATGGTGAGTATGGAAGAAAATATTGCTCAAATTATTTTTGGTTATTGAGCCCTTTTTTTTTTACTATAAATTCTTTTAGGATTTTATCAAGAATCCCCTAAAAGATTTTCACCCTTTTACCGGTGAATTCATGTTTTTTAAAAAAAAAGATTGAGATTTTTGATTTGATATTGCAGCAATGGCCACTGTAATTCTTGGTTGATGGGTTTAAATAATTCATTGTAAAGGTGCTATAGGTGAAAATTGAAGGGATAAAATAGATTAATTGAAAATTAAATTGGCAATTTAGGAGGAAGAAAAAACAATTCGAGAAAAAGGGAAAGTGAGTGGAGGCTGTTATCATAGCAGCCAACCCTTTGATCTTTCTTTTTTTTAAAAGTAAATGTGTTTGGTTTTTGGGCTTATAAAAACAAATGTGAGTTTTTGTTAACATTTGAGCCTTTTTAAGCCTAATATGAGCACTCAACCTAATATTAAATTGGGCCTTCAAATTGAAATAGACCTAAAATTAAATTTTGGATTTGAAAAATCTAATTTAGATTTTTATTAGGCTCTCTGGCCAACCAATGTAAAACTGAATTGATTTCGAATTTTAGTACGTAATTAATACGAGCTCAATCAAATCAAAATGCTTGAATTGTTTTAACATGATATATTCAAGCCAAAATCGTATATTTTTTTTTAATCAAACTTTCGGACAAAATAAGCGCTTACAAGTCCTTGGTAGATGAAGCGGCGGTGGTGGTTCTATTCTACACTGGATTGTTTCCAAGTACCGTGCCATTAAGGGTATTAATTAATTTTGATTTGCCACACATTATTGAGAAGTCTCCCTCCCATCCAGGTATAATCGTTATTCAAGTTACAAATAGTGAGATGTTAGCACTGCATAGAGCAAATAATATTTTGGCCTTGGTCTGAACAACTGCTTCTTTTCCTTCAAGCAGCTTTTTTCAAAACATTTAATAGCACCTTTAAGTCATTTCCCCTGCTTATTTACATATGCCACATCAACTTCCCTTTAAGGAGTCTGAGACTCCGTTGAGCTCCTTGAACACCTCAGTTACTTGGCTATGAATGGAGCTACAGGAATTAAAAGAAAAAAAAAGGGTAATACTCACTATTAAAATTAACAATTCATAACGCCTGATATTCATTTGCTAAAGTTGTCAAGTTGAAAACTGTTCTACCTCCTTGGCATTCATAAATTTATTTGTGTTGTAGGAATTGAGCATGTGGCAGGAGATATGTTAAAGAGTGTACCAATCGGAGACGCCATTTACTTGATGGTTAGGCAATAGAAATTACAGAATACCCATCAGTCCTCTGGCAATGATCTTTGCCCTTCACTTACATCGTACTTCACATAACTAAAATGTAAAAAGCCAAGTTGATTGATATCACTTTTAGCAATCCAAGGATTTCGTGATTAACACTGGATCTTTGCTGCAGAAAAATGCAGTGGATACTCCATACGTGGACGATAAGCAATGCATAGAGTTACTTAACAACCGCTATGAAGCATTACCGGTCAATGGGAAAGTGATAGTAGTGGATTCTGTAATCCCTGAAAGCCAGGATACCAATCTAAGTTAAACGCGTGTATCAGTTTGATTTGTTCATGATTAACTTAAAACGGAAGAGGTAAGGAAACGACAGAAAAAGAATTCCAGAGCTAGGCAAAAGAAGCAGTCTTTTTTCGTGTTGGAGTGGCATGCTGTGCCAACGGTTTTTCAATCGTTGAGTTTTACAAAAACATGTGAGATATGATTGTGCGTTGTTACTAAATAGTGGACATGATGAATAGCTAGAGTTCGACTTTAAAGCATCAAACTACAAAAGGCTCATCATACTTCTTTACATCTACATTTTGTATTACTGAATCTCAATCATTAAGCTCTATTCTCACTGGAATTTACTCACTTTGCTGTATATGTAAACTTTGTTTTCTATCTAAAATAAAGGGTTTCAAAAAAAAAAAAAAGTTGGCAGAAGAAGATCACCTAGCCTCCCCTTTGGGATGATATAACGAGCTTGCTACGTGATGGGAGATTTGCAAACACAAGCAACATAGACAAGGGTAGCTAGAAATCTTAAAAATAAACCAGCCAAGAACAGTAAAATTACAAAATTTATTGCGCCATGGATTTACTGGCGCTCTATCTGAATAGTCACATGACTGATATTGTATTCTCTCCTGATATGATCTATAACCTTGTTCAATACCATGTCAGCATCAGCTTCACGCTTAATTAAGACATGGCAAGCTAATAACACCTTGCCAACAGTTATAGCCCAAATGTGCAGTTCATGCATGGCAACAACCTCATCCATCTCACATAAACCCTTCTCAAGCCTTGTGGCATCAATTTCTCGGGGTGTGCTCTCCATAAGAACTTCCAAAATGTTCCTTAGCATCCTGATGGTTGTTCCCAGCACAATAATAGAGAATACAAGGGTGCATATCAGATCAATTATTTTCCACTCAGGCTTGTACCAAATAATTGCTCCACCAATCATCACTCCATCTTTGAATGGAATCCCCTAGGACATGAAGATAAGCCCCTTGAACATTGATGTTTCTTTCCTTCTTCCGAGGTGCTCCACTTTCTGAATTTTTTTCACAATCTGAGTAGCTCTTAAGCAGAGGCTCTAGGTGGTCAGCTTCTTGAGTATGATGATGTTCATCATCTAGTTCAGAATTTGAGCCATGATGACGGTGGTGATGATGAGAAGTTATAATTAATCCATGATTATGTGGTTCCTTGTCATGGCTATAACTATGATCGTGGTGGTCATGATCATTCCCACCATGGTGATGACTATGGTCATGGCCATGGTGATGCCCATGATCATGACCCAACAAGAGAGCCATAGCAATATTAACTACTAGACCAAATGCAGAAACCACAAACATGAGAAAGCCTTGGACTTCACCTGTATGGTGGATAAGTCTAGCTATGGCTTCATAAACAAGGATGCCAGCTAGAAGCCATATCATCTGGATGGAAACAAGGGCACCAAGAATTTCAATTCTAAAGAATCCATAAGATTGACGTGGAGTTGCCTCCCACCCTGATGCCCAAAGAGAGAACAAGGAGATTGCAAATGCGGCAACATCTGACAAGAGATGAGCTGCATCAGTTAAGATTGCAAGACTGTTGGCTTTAATTCCTCCACCTACTTCTATGATCATAAAGACAATGCAGAGCACTACCGCCATCAAAAGTTTCCGCGTTGAGGCTGTGCGTTCCTTTGCATCTTTAGAACTGGTTTGAGCATCAGAAAACCCACACACTGCACCTCCACAAATCTTACTTCCACCCAGGCTTGTCTCTGCAGCTGGCACATCTCCACATATTTCAATTATATGCCTTTGTTCAGAATTTTGCACTTCCATCTGAAAACAGCATAAACAACCACAAGGAAGAATAATTTATTAAATTCACAAAGACTAGAACAAAATTGCATAACGGGGGGTGAATTAACAAATTAATTAAGACAGATTAAAAATCTTGTGTCAACAAAATACTGCATTATTTTCACTTCTACAATACTTTTCCATTTCTCTCATCAAGCATGCCATTTTCTCTTAAGCGTTCTCCTTTCCCACTCTTTCCCATCATATGATAAAATGGTACCTTGACCACAACATATAGATGCCTAATAAAAGTTTCAGCGTGTCACCATTTCTTTAACCAAAATGCACAGCTACGTAAACCTTAGATTACTAAATACTTTATTATGCTTCTTATACCTACTTGCTTCAGCATACAAATTTGCAACACACATCTCGACACAACTTTATTAAAATGTGGTAAAATTTGCAATCCTAGCAAGTAATTTATGTGTTGGAGGAATCAAGAAACAACAAAAATAACATCTTCAGCATCAACTGATTGTAAATATTAAAGTTGAGATGCAGGTGATAGACAAAGGGGGCACCATTGATAGGAGGGTTGCATGTCACAATGCAGATAATTTTCAATAATGGAGTTGCCTAATAAGGGCATTAGCCTGTATGCCTGACTTCCCTCTATCTGATTACATATTGCATTGGTGTTTCTCTTTCACTTAAAAGAGGGCCATACGTATTTAGCCTTGAAACCCTTATATTAAAAAGGGGACAAATAACAGGAAAGAAAATACTAAAGAATAAAAAACAAACTCTGCAGCATACAGTACAATTGCAGCCCATATCTTATTTGGATCAGAAAAAACTTCACAAGGCAATTCACAACACATATGTTTACATACATGCAAGCATACATACGCCCATAATAAACTTGTATGTATTCATGTATACAAATACATATATACATGCATGTATATATGATTGTAGCATGTATATATGATTGTAGCAGTTTTAAATTCTAGAATCAAATAAAGATAAGCAGAAACTCAAAGGTGATTATTCAGAATCAATTTCAACGAAAAAATTTACTCATTACTACATTACAATAAAGAATTTTCAGAAGAATCAATTGACTAATTAAATAAAAGAGTATCCAATTACCTTCGTTCTCGCTTTTGATTACTGCAACCTTCTCCTAAGACTACTAAATCCGTAAACGCAAGGTAAAAAAGTTAATTTTCTAAATATTATACAGTTTTATATTAAGGAGAAACGATAATGATAAGAATGAAAAATCAGGATTTCCTAATATTATACAGTTTTATATTGGTTTTGTAAGAAAAACCATATTACCTGGAGACATCGAAAAAAACTTGCCTTTAACACAATGGGTTTTTTAGGATCTGGGAAAAGCAGGGAAAAAAAAATCCAGATTACAAATATTCAATGGAATAAGAACAAATTTTAAAAGAGAGAAAAAAAAAAAAAACACCTTTGATTGGAGGAATCTTTGAGATTGTGAAAGTAGCAGTCGCAATGACTCCACCAGATTAAGAGGTTATTTGCAATAAAAACAAAAGACAGAGTTAAGAGTCTTCATAAATTTGCTGTTATTTTTTTATATAATGTTTGGGGTTTATGGCAAAAGAAATTGTTTTTCTTTCCATCCTTTAGTATTCAATTCTTTTGTTTTGTAGCCATTCGTTGCCAATCATGAACTCTGCCATTCTATGCACAGCGCAGGTAATACGCCAGGGCTCTGGTAACTTATGCCTTCAGTTCCGGTAGTTTTTTCATCTTTTCGTGTCGACATGTTTTTGGTAAAGCATATTCGTTTTCTTAAAGAATAGTGTCCCATTTGATATCTGAATTATTGTAATTTATTAGATTTGAAACCTAAAAAAAAATTTTTAATCAAGTATTTAAATTATATTTTTGTGTGTTAATTTTTTTAACCGTTAACATCATTAATTTTAAATCCTAATATGGTATAAATACTTAATAAAATATTAATATATATAAAAGTTTAATCAATGTTACATTATTAATGTTATATCAATATTAAAAAAAATTTTCAAAATAATCTAAAAAATTCAAAAAAATTCTATAAAATTTATGATAAAAATAAGTTAAGGAAATATTTTTCATTGAATGCTTGCTAGGAAAATTCATACTAACAAAGCTTAGATGAAGACAAAACTTGAAGTGTTAAACTACCTTTTAAGTGCTATATTAACATTTTTAACAGAACATAACAAAGTGTTCCAACAGTTGCATCAACAGAAGTATCATTTAATAGAACAGCCTTTACAACCTAGATAAATGCAATAGTCTCCAAATTTAAAAAAAGAGCAACTATTTTTTCTAAAACAAAAAAGCATAATAATTGTGAAGAAAGCAAAAACAAACTTGAAATTCTCTTTTAATAGAATAATGATCCAAAATCTAGTATTATAAAAAGGTTATGGAGAAAGGTTTTTGTTTTCCTAGGTAGTAGATATAGTAATCATCATAAAATAAATTTTAGGAACAAGTCGGACACGGAGTAATACATACAGCTTCTAGGAATTGAAACTTCTTTGATGGCAAACCAACTACTGCTGCTATTGAATATACTTCTTTATCTTCTTGTTAGGATCTACACCAAAAACTTAAACCTGATTATTATCAGCATATAGTGTTCAAGATTAAGGCCTGCATCAATGCCAATCTTCAATACTTTTTTAGCCTTTCCTTTTAGTTTCCAAAAAATTTGTGACTTGTAACCTACAATCTTGAGTTCTTGACATATAACAAAATGAGCCATAACTCATAACACATTCCATACATTAAAAAAAGAAAAAAAATCACATTCCTAAAAGGGAAACCACATAACAATAGCCAAACAAAAAAAATTTTAACATTGAAATTGAGATTCAAGTTTGAGTGTTTGTGATGGTTTTTAGGCTAGATCTTTGGAAAGTAAGAGGACTTTTAGGAACGAAACAAATTGTAAAAGATTAGGGGTTATCGGAGAAGCGAAAACCAACAAAAAATTTTTTTGATCAAATCTTTGAGGTCGATCTAGGCTTCTATGGGTTGTTTTTAAAAAAACTAAGATTAGAACGTGAAAGATGAGGTCAAAAGAAATCGACAAGTGAAATCTAGGTTTAAATTGATACTGGCAATCTATAGTTGACGACGATGGACAACAATCGACGTGGTGGCGAGCCACCAGTTACTGGGTTTGGAAATGGCTAGTAATCTTGGGGGTTAAGAGTGTTTGAAGTTTTTTTTAGAGAAATTTTTTAAATGAATTGAAAAAAAAAACTTGTTTTTATATATTTTTTAATTTTTTAAAATTTTTTTTAGATTTTTTTGAAAAATTTCTTTTAATGCTGACATGAAATTGATAATGTGGCGTTGATTGGACGTTTTTGACATGTGTCAATATTTTATTAGATGTTTATACCAAAGTGTTTAAAGTTAACAGTGTTAATGGTTGGAGTAAATTAACACACGAAAATGTAGTTTAGGTACCTGATTATAAATTTTTTTTTGTTTAGATATCAAATCTAATAAATTACAATAGTTCATAAGTCAAATGGGATATTATCTTTTTTTTTTAAGATGTAAGGTCATGTTTGTAATATAATATTATGATAAGATAAAATGATACTATGAATAAGATTAGATTAAATAATGTCATCCTATCTTATATTTGATATGTAAAAAAATTAAAATAAGATAATTTATTTATTGGATAAAATTATCTTTTCTCAAAATTTATATAATTTAAATTATTGATATAATTTTAAAGAATATAATAGGATATATAAATTTAATTTTGTGAATTAAAAATAATTCTCTCAACTTTGAGAGAATTGAATAATTTTATATCAATCTGATGATAATTTTTTTATAATTTTATCTCTTTCAATTAAATATAAATGAAATATAATATAAAATAATTATAATATTATTTTATTTATTATTTTATATATATCAACTAAGATCAATAATATTCGTTTTAACATATTAATATTGTTGATGCCCATACCAAACGAAGTATTACTATTAATTACTAATTAATTAGGTAGCAAAGATGTATCAACTTCGTATCAGAATGAAAATATAAAACATTATCAGCATGAGACAAGAAGAAATCGTCAAAACAAAATTATGAAAAATTTGAAGCTTTTTAGGTGGCTGACAAAATCACCAGACATTAGATGACTAATGTGGCTAATAAAGTGACAAGTGACATCAATCATGACATGACAAATGCTGCTGACATAGTGACAACTGACACCAATCACCACAAAATATTTCACTTATATTCTTTTATCTCTTTTTTATATTTATTCAATTATAATAAAAAATTATGTATATCACATGTAATATTAAATTTCATATAAAATTTTAATTTAGTTATATAATATTAAATTATAATTAATTAAATATAATACAATTATAATATATATGTTTTCAATCCGACATGTAGTCTGAGAAAATGCTTTGTTGTCACATTTTCCACGTGGCTAGTGTTTTATCATAAAGGCACTATATGGTCAATATCTTAAATTGATGTGGCTAGTTAAATTGCTAATTCCACTATCTAAGATATTTGTTTAGCACTAAGAAAGTTTTTAAAGAATTCTTTATTAGTTATTTATATGGAGAGTTTGGTATAAAATGGTGGAAACATGGATCCCAATGCCAAGTTACAAAACTGCCCGATGGCTTGTGGAATGACTGTCTCAAATGTTGAAAGGACATGCATGAGGCATACAAGTAATTGTAGCAAGGCCCTAGTTTTAAATTTAAATGCCTTGATATGATTAGCTTGATATTAGAGGGTGAGAAACACTAGAGATGAGTAGCTTAATATGATTTTAAATTTCCTTTTGTTGAAGGCAATGATATTCTTATAGCAATTTCTGGTGTCTAACCTCAAATGACAAGCTCTTCAATAGAAATTAACACCTTCGATGAAAAACTGAGAGATAGGAAGGGATTACAATTATAGTTGCTCTTTAAGCTACTTAAATTAATTTTCTCCAAAGTTTTCATCTCGAAAGCAATGGTTTCTAGACTCTAGAATGCATGTTTAGGCAAGTATTTATTTGTATGCTCGACAATAGGGAGCCTATGTGATGTAGCAAAACATTTCATGGTTTCAGGCTTTTAGCTCAATCAAAAAGCTTTTTGTGTAATACCCCAATTCAAATGATAATTGGATTAAACTAATACCAAAGTTAATTAGTTTATTAAGAGATTAATTAGTAAAAGAACAATGGCTAAGGTATTAAATGAAACAAAACCTAACTATCATAAAACATAAAGAAAATAAGAGTTCATTTTTCTCATTCTTTAAGGTTAAAAAACATGAAAAATCAAGTTGAAGATTCAAAAATCAGAGGCTACAATCGAGTTAATCTTTTAAAGGTGAGTATATGTCATCTTTTTATTTAAAAAATATACTATGTTGGTTGCTATTATTTGGAGTTGAAGTTCTGAAAGAAAAATAAAAAAATTATGAAATCTTTCATTAATCTTCATGATCGATTTAGGTAAATTATTGGGTTTTATTTACTTCATATTATTAAAATTTAATGATAATTATTAAGTGGATTTTAAAGGTTAAAAGTGGAGAGTAGGATTTTTAAAAATTAAAGGAGAAATTATGTTTTTGGATAGGATGCTATTATCAACAATAGTGAATTAAAATAATATTTTATATCAAGGGATTAGATATTGCTATGACTATTATATATAGTTGGAAAGCATATTGAATCTTCTTTCTAATGAAATAAACAGAAGTCAAATTCGAGTTTTTTTATAAAGAGTTGTTTAATTTTTACTTAAGGATATGCAGGCTGTATGGTAGAATCATCAGGGTTGAATAACGAAAATTTTTCTTAAATTTTGTACAAGGAATTAAGAATTATGCCATAAATGTTTGAAAATATTATTGAGTCTACTTTCTAATGGAACAAGAAGAATAGAATTTGGAGTCTTCTATGAATAAATATATAATTTTTATTAGAAAAGTATATGTGCTGTTTGGTAGTAGCATATGATGTGGATTGCAAAATTTATTATAATTAATTTACAAGGAATTACAAGGTGAACCATATATGGTTAGAAAGCTTATCAAGTCTAGTTTCTAATGCATTAAAGAGATATTCATTCTAATTTGGACATATTAAGATATAATCATTTTAATGA